TGCGCGACTGCGCGGAAGGCGAGAGCACATGTGTGCTAGTGCACGAGAGCGCGCACGGCGCAACAGCGCAATGGTTTAACGGTATTGTTTCCTAGACACGATGTTTGTGCCTAGTCACGATGTGTTTGAATATGCTTATAAAATCTCATTGAACAATCTAGTTTTTAGATTAGTGGTTTAAATCATTCTAATTAATCTTTTCAAATTGTGTATATTTGAAAAAAGTTGTTTGATTACCACGTACACTTTCTATGTTTTAGTTTATTAATTTTATTCATTTTCATATCTTGCTCACGATTCTCACGATGTCACGATGCTCACGATAGTAACGATGCTCACGATGTCACGATGCTCGTGATGTCACGATGTCATGATGCTCACGATGCCAGATGCTCACGATAGTCATGATGCCCACGATGTCACGATGTCACAATGCTCACGATGTCACGATGCTTATGATGCTCACGATGTCACGATGCTCACGATGTCACGATGTCACGATGCTCACGATAGTCACGATGCTCACGATGGTCACGATGCTCACAATCGTCACGATTCTCACGATGCTCACGATGCACACGATATTAGTAGATTCATTTGGAAATTGAGAAGCTAGATTTTCCAATGAAGACTAATACTATAAATAGAATGGTCTAGAGGTTGTAAAGGTATCTTAATTTTTTCACAACAATATAAGATAATGAAAAATAAATCGCAACAGGGTGATGAGAGTAGAGAGAAGGGTGACGAGAGTAGGGAGAAGGGTGATGAGAGTAGGGAGAAGGGTGATGAGAATAGGGAGAAGGGTGATCAGAGTAGGGAGAAGGGTGATGAGAGTAGGAAGAAGGGTGATGAGAGTAGGGAGAAGGGTGTTGAGAGTAGGGAGAAGAATGATGAGAGTAGGGAGAAGGGTGATGAGAGTAGAGAGAAGGGTGATGAGAGTAGGGAGCTTATAGGGATGCATTCGCTTCCTTAGCATCTGTCGGCAGACACAACAGTCATCGCAAGCGCCCTTTTCTGTGCGCGCGAACCAGAAATTTTTGCACAGGCTCGTGCTCTCCATACCCCTCGACAACTTTTATCAACGGTTTCAGCTCGAAATGCGCACAAACGCGGAATGCATACCTCCGAGACCGCCCCTCCATGGCGTTTCGGGCCATTTTCACTCCAAAACGCTAACAAACCCACTCGAGTGTAGAAAGTTACAAAGCGGTCGGGGATTTGTGCAAATGATCGTGTTTTCCATACCCCTACACACCTTTATCCACGGTTTCAGCTCAAATGCGCGAAAGTGCGGAATGCACACATCCAAGACTGGGCCCTTCCTAGGCGTTTCGGGCCATTCACTCCAAAATCGGGCGCTAACAAACCCACTCGGGTGTAGAAATTTGCAAAATGGCTGGGATTTTTTGCACATGCTCGTCTTCTCCATACCCTTTCACACCTTTAGCAACGGTTTCAACTCGAAATGCGCACAAACGCGGAATGCACACTGTCAGAATCCCAACCACTGAGATAAAAGGGCTTGTTAAGTAGCAGGTTTGTGCGCCCATAACCCCCCAGGACAACGAGCCTGTAACCCTTCCCTAGGATCAATCGGGAATCACCAGTGGATCTCTGACACCCCCCCCCCCCACTGGGATGCCCGAAGTGCGCACACTGGGATTTGAACCCGAGATCTTCGCTCTTATACCATGTCAGAATCCCAGCCACTAACCACTGGGATAAAAGGGCTTGTTAAGTAGCGGGTCAGTGTGCCCATAACCCTCCAGAACAACGAGCCTGTAACCCTTTTCTATTATCAATCGGGGATCACCAGTGGACCTCTGACATACACATCCGAGGCAGGGCCCCTCCTAGGCGTTTCAAGTCATTTTTCCCCCAAAACGCTAAAAACCTCCTCGGGTGCAGAAAATCGCAATGCGGCCGGGGATTTTTGCACATGCTCAGCCTCTCCATACCCCTCCACACATTCAGTCATGATTTCAGCTCGAAATGCGCACAACGCAGAATGCACACCCCAAGACCGGGCCCCTCCGAGGCATTTCGGGCAATTTTCCCCCCACAACGCTAACAAACTCACTAGGATGTAGAAAATTGCAAAGCGGCCAGGATTTTTGCACATGCCGGTGCTCTCCATACCCCTCCACACCTTCAACCAAGGTTTCAGCTCCAAATGCGCACTAACGCGGAATGCACACCTCTGAGACGGGCACCTCCTAAGTGTTTCCCATCATCGTCCCCCCACCTCGGCTCGCCTCTCTCTCACTCCCTTGGGTTTCGGCAAGAGGTGAACGGTGGCCCCTCGACACTATCATGGTGCTTTCTGCTTCCGCCTTCCTAATTCCGATCTCCTTAACGTCCCCTCTCCGGTTTCTTCCTTCCCACATAAGCCATGGGACGAACAGCCGGCGGCGGAGCTCGGGGTGCTGGCAAGGTCATGCACCTCCTGTCTTGTTTGCCTCCTCCCTCTCTTTCACCTCCCTGTCTTGTTTGTTCCACATGTAGAGTCATCTTCTTCGAAGATAAGTAACCAAGCTCGTGTCAACATAGCATTCAAACATCAACAGAAGGTGTTTTTGTCAAGTTATATTTATATGTTATGTTTAGGTTGTCTAGGCTATATGGGGGTTAGCACTAGGGGGTACAATATTTCTCTCGACATTCTTCTTGTACCCCCCCTTGACCTACTCAATCACACAACTTCATGCCTAAGATTGTAAGATGGTATCTAGAGCCTAGAGGGCTCTAGGACCTAAGATAAGGGCCCACCGTTACCACATTTCCTCACCTGCCTTGCCTGCTGCCCGCGCGCGCCTCGGCTGCACGCGCACGGCCCTTTTTTTTTCCCGCGTGCGCCGCTTGAGCAGCCTGCGCGCTCTTCGTTTAAGCCGGTTTAGGCTCGTTTTCGGCCCCGCGCGCCACGTCAGCTGCCCGCGCAGCGTGCCGCCGGTCCGCGCGTCGCGTAAGCCGCCCGCGCGCAGCCCGCTTAGGCCGTGCGCACCGCGTCCGCCGCCTGCGTAGCCCGTTTTCAGCCCCGCGCGCTAAGTCAGCCGCCCGCGTAGCCTGCCGCCGGCCCCACGCGTCACCTTCTCCGGTGACGGCGCGCTGCCCCCTGTCGCCCGTCACGTCACCTGTGGGACCCACGCGCTGCCCTGCACCAGCTACGCCGCCCCTGGAGCAACCGCCCCGGGCCCCTGAAGCAGCCGCCCCTGGACCCTTGAGCAGCCGCCCCTGGACCCAGAGCAGCCGCCCCTGGCCCCTGAAGCAACCGCTCCTGGTGCAGCCGCCCCTGGACCCTCGAGCAGCCGCCCCTGGCTGCCTGCCTGCCTGCCTGCCTGCCGCGCCTGCCTGCCTGCCTGCCTGCCTTCCTGCCTGCCTGCCTGCCTGCCTGCGTGCCTGCCGCGCCTGCCCTACCCGCGCTGCTACTGCTGCTCCTTCTGTTACTACTGCTAGGCTACTGCTACTGCTACTGCTGCTACTGTAAGTGGCCAGATGCAGCTCCAGCGACATCCACGCGAGTCTCTCCCGCCCCAGCAGCTTTGTGAGTGGTATGCTAATTGGGGTTGTGGCGGTAGCCGTCGTAGCTGTCGCCCTGGAGCTGGTCAGTTGGGAGCGTCTGGCAGTGGCCAGCTGCAGCTGCAGCGGCGTCCACGCGAGACACTTACTTCCCAGCAGCTTCACAAGTGGTACGCTCAGAGTAGAGGGTCTTTGAGTCCCGTTCGCTGCCCGTGCATCATTCGCACAGGTGATCGGGCTGGTCACCCTTGCGGGACACCTGGTCACACACAGTCCCGCTGCTTCGCCCGTCTGAGTGACGCCTGGCGTACCGAGTTTGGCGACGAGGCTGAGCTCCCCACCTGGCTGGAGCTGCTTGGGCACAGGGTAGATGTATTTGCTCTTGACAATGATGTAATTCTCACTGCCATGTATGCATTGCCTACTAGTGATGACGGTGCCTATTACCTGTGCGTACCGCCTGACCCAGGTACAGAGCCTGCTGCTCTAGGTGCTGGTGAGGCTGCTGCCCTAGGTGCTGGTGAGGCTGCTGCCCTAGGTGCTGGTGAGACTGCTCTCTCTGGTACTGCGCCTGCTGAGGCCTTTTACACCTTCACACTTGACTCTCGTGCTTCTCGCTCCTTCTTTCGCGACAGCACCACCCTCACGCCGCTCAGTCGGCCGATTGCAGTCTCTCTGGCAGACCCCTCTGGGGGTCCAGATGTTGTTCAGGATCCGTCACTTTGAGAGCTTACGACGAACTCATTACTCAACTAAACGCAAATCCGCTCGGTAGGAAGTTGCGCCTTAGGCTTAGCTACCATCTCCAAGTTGAATCAGTCGTTAAGATGGTCTATAGAGTGAGAACCAAGTAAAAACGTCCAGCAGCCGCATGACTAGTATGGTGGAGGAAGTACAAACATTAGGGCATAGAAAGTTGGAGTTGGGGACTCCAAGAGAACCATGAGAGAGAAGGGGTTCTCCAAGAGCTAGGGAAGGATGGTAAGAACCTTCCTAGCAGCAAGGATGCAACCCTCATCATGAGGTCCTTGAGGTGTCACATGCAAAATCCAATCTAGTTGGATTTTGCCTAGGTGTTGTAACATTTGCAACCCATGCTAGAAACTTCTAGCCACCCCAATCCAAAAGTCAAAGTTGCCTTCCTAACCACCCAATCAAAGATCCCTTTATATTCATGTCCCAAGTAATCACCCAAATTAGATATAACCCCAAAAGGTAATAAGAAATCCAAATCTTGGAAATCTTGTAACTTGGGCGATCTTGGTCGAAATAAGGCGGTCTTGGTGTCGTTGGAAAGCTCTGGATTTCTCCTGCATGATCAAGCATTTAGACTTGGAGAAAAACACAGAGATGATAATATCCAACAGCCCTGCACAATGACATACGCTCATGCAAATCATGCAAGCACAAATAGCACGAGCACTCGGCAGAACGTTAGGATGACATGCACTCAGAATGACGTGCATCCGACAAACTCCCCCTCAGACTAACGGACTGCATGCACACACACTCACACACATGCATAGTCTCATGCACACAATCACACATGCATTCATGACATTGCTGCTCTCACTAGTGCAATGCCATGCCACACATCTTAGCACACTTCCAATGTGCGCTCTCGGGAAGTCTCTTGGTGAGAAAATCTGCCGCCTGCTTGCTAGCCTTCACATGGTGAAGCTCAACAGCTCCCTCCTTCACCATCTGCCTCACCCAGTGCCACTTAATCTTCATGTGCTTGTTCAGCCCATTTAGGATAGGATTATTGGCCATGCCAATAGCAGCCTCGCTGTCGGAGAAAAGTGGTGTAGGTCCCTCCTGTTCAGCTCCCATGTCCTCCAGCAGCTTCCTCAGGAGCACGATCTCCTTGATGGCATGGTACATCGCCATGTACTCTGCCTCTCCGGAAGATTGAGCAATCTCACTCTGCTTCTTGGACCTCCAGCTCACTGGTCCACCTCCGACCATGCACACAAAGCCGCCAACGGATGACTGATCCTCATCCTCTGAGGCCCATGTGGCGTCGTTGAAGCACGACAGCTTCAAGGTACCAGGCGTGACCCCATCTGCTCCAATCTGTTTCAGCTGGCCGCCAGCTGAAAACTGAACACCAGCAGATGCCGTTTATCCAAGGTAGCGCACCAAGCGCATTGCCACCTCCAACTGCTCCACAGTGGGCCGTTGCACAACTCTGGCCAGCTGCCCCACTCCGAATGAAGCATCAGGTGGTGTATGCACTGCAGCATACATCACACTCCCAACGAGTGACTGGTACTCGTTTTGCTGCTCATCCTCAAGCACATCATCCTCCTCAGCTGCCTTCTTCAATTTGAAGCCTGCAGGGAACAGTGTCATCATAGTGCGACCCCCAGTCACACCATACCGCTCCATGACACCAGAGATGTAGTGTGACTGATACACCTTCAGCCACCTCCTCTCAACATCCCTCTCAATCTGCAGCCCCAAGTAGTAGTGGACATCCCCCAGCATCTTGCACTTGAAGTTGTCCATCAGCAGCTTCTGTGTCCTCTCAATCTGCTCCATGGAAGGTGAGAACAGCAGTATGTCATCGACATACACCAGCAGCAAAAGCAGCTGCTCCCCCTCTCCAAGTAGAAACAAGCTGTGATCCGCCTGGGACGTCTTGAAGCCTCCACCCAGCAGCACCTCCTCCAGCTTCTCGTACCAACACCTGGGTGCTTGCTTAAGGCCATAGATGGCCTTCTTAAGCTTGCACACCCGGCTGGTCCCATCCTCACAGCCGTCGGGCTGCGCCATGTAGATATCCTCCAGCAGTATTCCATTGAGGAATGCAGTGGTGATATCCATCTGCTTCATGTGCCATCCCTTCACAGCTGCGCCAGCCATCAAAGTCCTCAATGTCACTGGCTTAGCAACGGGAGCAAAGATCTCCCCGAAGTCGACCTTTTCCTTCTGCTGAAACCCCTTGGCAACCAAGCGGCTCTTGAACCGCTCCAACGCACCATCAGTACCACTCTTCACTGTGAAGACCCACTTGCTGCTGATCGGTCGTCGCCCCTCGGGTAACTCAACAAGCTCCCAAGTCCCATTCTCAATGAGACTGTTGAACTCCGCATCCATGGCAGCCTTCCACTCCTCCCTTTGGGGTCCACTCAGTGCCTCCTCCACTGTGGCTGGTTCTCCAGGCAAGGGTGTGAAGAAATAGAACGCCATCTCCTCATCCTCTCCCTCATCCGCCTGAACCGCCATGGCACCTTGCTTGGGTCCTCCCAAACGGCTATACTTCAGCCTTGAGGGTGCTGCTGCCACTCTTTTCTCACGCGTTGCAATCTGCTGCCCATGTGGTGAAGCTCCTCTCTGCACACTCCTCTTGGTGACCTTGGCGTTTGCAGCAGGCTCGGGCTGAGATGGTGAGTCCACACGTGCCGACTCATCCTCCAACCCCTCCTCTCCAGCAGGACCAGAAACTTGTTGCTCACCACCGCCACTGTGGTCACTGGTCAGCTCTGACCCGTGGAGTTCATCAAGGTGCAGCTGAACCTCCTCCACTATAGACCGCTCAATTTCCTGCAGACGCTCTCAGAATCCCAACCACTAGACCATTGGGATAAAAGGGCTTGTTTCAGTAGCGGGTCAGTGCGCCTATAACCCCCCAGGCAAACGTGCCTGTAACCCTTCCCTAGGATCGATCGGGGATCACCAGTGGACCTCTGACACCCCCTCGCACTGAGATGCCCGAAGTGCATACACCGGGATTCGAACCCGAGACCTTCGCTCTGGATACCATCTCAGAATCCCAACCACTAGACCATTGGGATAAAAGGGCTTGTTTCAGTAGCGGGTCAGTGCGCCCATAACCCCCCATGCAAACGTGCCTGTAACCCTTCCCTAGGATCGATCGGGGATCACCAGTGGACCTCTGACAGACGCAAGCCAATCTGCACCTGCTGCTGCTGCTGCCAGTCCTTGTACATGACGTCCTCCACAAACTTGACGTCACGGCTGACCAGCGTCCTCTTGCTCTTGGGGTCCCACATCAGCCACCCCTTCGAGTCAAGAGCCATCCCAAGATGGACAGCCCACACAGCAGCAACTTCCAGCTTGTGCCTCTGCTCCTTAGGCACCATCACAAGCCCCATGCAGCCCCACACACGCAGCATGTCAATAGATGGCTTCTTCCCAAGCCAACGCTCATACGGCACCCAATGCTTGTCGCCAACATGCGTCAAGACCCTGTTCTTGACCGTGATGACATGGCGAACGGCATCAGGCCAGAACTTGTAAGGCATCCCAGCAGCCTTCAACAAGGTCTTAGCCGCCTCGCCAATGGTCCGGTTGGCACGCTCAGCAATGCCGTTTTGCTGCGGTGTTCCAGGGCAGGTCAACTGATGTCGGATGCCATTTCTCTTGAGGAACTTGGTGAACTCTCCACCTCTGTCGCTCCTCAGCACCTTCACCAGCCGCATCGCTTGCCGCTCCACCATCGGCAACCAATCCTCCTTGATCGTCGCCGCAGCATCGCTCTTCTTGGACAAGGGACGCGCCCACGTGAAACGGCTCCATTCGTCCACCATGGTAAGGAATTACAGCACTCCCCCAGTCCCCTAAGTCCTCATAGGACCCACCAGGTCCATGTGCACCACCTCCAATGGTGCCTTCGCTGATCCCTCCGCTCGTGGGAACGGGAACCGCGCAAACTTGTTTTGCATGCACGCCTCGCAGCTGCCATAGTGAGTGCCATCTCCTTGCAATTGCAGCCCATGCACGCACTTCTCCTTGTGCATCACCTCCAGTGTTGAAAGAGCCACGTGTGCGAGTCACCGATGCCAAGTCTCCCAATCCGCTTGGCCCGAGGTAGCCGGCGCCTTCACCGCCGCGCTTCCTCCAATCAGCTCCTCTCCTTGCACACATTGCTTCTCCTCCTCGGTGACGCTCTCCTCCATAGATGCCGCCGCTGCCGCCTTGCCCGATTTCCGCCAAGGGAGGACCGGGATCTGCCACATCCGCTTGTGGACATCCCCTTTCCACTGCAGGTCCCAAATCAGCCGCTCATCGTTGTAGGCACGATAGCGCTCCGAGCCAATCGTCTCGGTGTTCACACCCGCATCTCCCAATCGTCCGGTAGAAATCAGGTTCGCGCACAAGTCCGGCACCCACAGCACGTTCTTCAGCCCCACGAGCTCTCCATCCGCTCCCATGAACTTGGCGCATCCCATGCCCATGACCTTGGCCTTGGCGCCCGTCGCGGATGTGACTGTAGAGATGGGTGCGGGCTGAATCTCATCAAGTAGGTCCGCACGAGGAGTCATGTGCCAAGAGCTCCCGGAGTCTATCTCCCAATGGGTGAGGGGGTGTAGGAGAACCTTGGCAGCCATAGCGTGGTTGGTTGTGCCTTCGTTCACGAAGAAGAACCCGGCCTTCCGCTCCTCAGATTTGCCGCCTTTCTCCTTATCCTTCTCCTCTCCACTAGCTCCCATGACTCCCCCACTCCTCGTGCCACCACGCTGGTTGCTTGATGAAGGCGGGATCCAATCCTTGGGTCGTTGGTAGCACTTCCGCCAACGATGTCCGCGCTTCTTGCAGTAGAAGCACACCTCCCTTTGACCCCCGCCGCCATCCTCCTTAGGGTTATCCTTATTCTTGCCCTTCCACTTCTTCTTGAAGCCACTCTTTCCACCTCCAACTCCATAGTCAGCCCCCTCCTCCGAGCGCTTCACACTCCACCGCCGCAAGTCCTCCTCTAGGATGCGCCCGCGAATATAATCCACGCTCCATTGGGGTTGTTGGGAGTTGAGGTTGATCGCAAGGGCAGACCATGAATCCGACAGCCGTATCACGATCTCCACGCATTGCACGAGCTCCGGGTACACCACACCGCCACCTTGGAGCTTCGTGAAGATGTCCCGCATCTCATCCAACACCGGTTGCATCGGCTCTCCATCAACGAACTTGATGTCGCGCAGCCGCCACGCGAGTAGCACGATGTCGGTAGCACGTGTCGGTGAGTGCACATCCAGAAACTTCCTCCAAGCCTTGGGGCCACACTCTGGATCACCCAAGAGGTCCTTGATGTGGTCAAGTTGTCGTCCGCCCACCGCTTGCACCATGAGCATGTACGCGTCGTACGATCGCTTCATCCACACTCCTTTCAGCTCCGCGGCCTCCGGCATCTTCTCCTTTCCCTCCACCAAATCCAATAGCTTGTATTGGGTATACATCAGCCTCATGCAGAAACTCCAGTGCTCGTAGTCCTCCCCCATGAATTTCTCAATAGAGAAAGCTTTCACACGATCCACGGTAGTAGGAGATGGTGTAGAAGAAGTAGGTAGCGTAGGGTTGGCTGGTTGGTGAGTCCCCACTCCTCCACCAGCAACTCCCCCCTGCTCTTCAGCCTCTCTACTTCTATCCATCTCGCCACTAGCACCTCCGGAGTTCATACCAACCATATTGAGGCCTTATGAACGGTGGAAACTTGAGAAATCGTTTGGAGAGAATTCTGCCAGAAATTTTGATTTACAAAAATCGCCGTCGCGGACTGGATACTTTGAATTAGAACGTGATTTGACCACCAATCGACATTTCGCGAGCCGAGCTACTAGAAAATGGTCTCACTCAACAACATTGGTTGAGAATTAACGACGATTTGTCGTCTCAAAGCCGACTACCCGCTCTGATACCACTTGTTGTTCAGGATCCGTCACTTTGAGAGCTTACGACGAACTCATTACTCAAGTAAAGATTGCGCCTTAGGCTTAGCTACCATCTCCAAGTTGAATCAGTCGTTAAGATGGTCTATAGAGTGAGAACCAAGTAAAAACGTCCAGCAGCCGCATGACTAGTATGGTGGAGGAAGTACAAACATTAGGGCATCGAAAGTTGGAGTTGGGGACTCCAAGAGAACCATGAGAGAGAAGGGGTTCTCCAAGAGCTAGGGAAGGATGGTAAGAACCTTCCTAGCAGCAAGGATGCAACCCTCATCATGAGGTCCTTGAGGTGTCACATGCAAAATCCAATCTAGTTGGATTTTGCCTAGGTGTTGTAACATTTGCAACCCATGCTAGAAACTTCTAGCCACCCCAATCCAAAAGTCAAAGTTGCCTTCCTAACCACCCAGCCAAAGATCCGTTTATAGTCATGTCCCAAGTAATCACCCAAATTAGATATAACCCCAAAAGGTAATAAGAAATCCAAATCTTGGAAATCTTGTAACTTGGGCGATCTTGGTCGGGATAAGGCGATCTTGGTGTCGTTGGAAAGCTCTGGATTTCTCCTGCATGGTCAAGCATTTAGAATTGGAGAAAAACATAGAGATAATAATATCCAACAGCCATGCACATTGACATACGCTCATGCAAATCATGCAAGCACAAATAGCACGAGCACTCGGCGGGACGTTAGGATGACATGCACTCAGAATGACGTGCATCCAACACCAGTCCGTGCGACCTCCACCACTGTCCTCCCCTGTCCTGCTGTCCCGTCCGGCACACTGTCGGGTCTTTACATCCCCTCGTTCTCTACAAACTTGGTGGCGGGTTCTGCGCTCCAGGACGCGGGTGTTCACGAGTTCACCCCTGCCTACGAGCGTGTGACACACTGCACGTGTGCTCAGACGGGTTGTCACCTGGCTACCTTCACTTGGCAACCGGGGTCGGGCCTGTACACACTGACCACTGAGTCCCCTCAGGTAGCTGCGTCTGCGGCAGGTCAGTTGTCGGCCCCCTGCTCGTGTCGCGCCTTGTCGCACCAGACCCTCCTTTGGCACCACCGCCTTGATCACCCCTCGGTGCAGCGCCTTCGCAGCATGCACCGCCGTGTCCTTGTCTCTGGTCTTCCCAGGGTTTTCCCTCCCCTCCCACTCTCGCCTGCTCCTCCCTGTCTTCCCTGTGTCGAGGGGCGGCAGCGCGCCGCTCCTCACTCCTCCTAGTTCCCTCCCACAAAGGCTCCCCTGCAGACTCTCCACCTTGACGTGTGGGGCCCAGCCCGCGTCCGTGGACAGGGCCACGAGCGGTACTTCCTGCTGGTCGTCGACGACTACACGCGTTCCACCACGGTCTTCCCCTTGCACACCAAGGGTGAGGTCCCTGATGTTTTGATCCCTTGGATCCGCGCTACTCGTCTCCAGCTCCGCGAGCGGTTCCAGTCGGACTTTCCTGTCCTGCGTCTGCACTCTGACAGTGGTGGTGAGTTCTCCTCAGACCTCTTGGCAGCCTTCTGTGCGGAGCACGGCATCCGCCAGACGTTCACGCTTCCGGCCTCTCCACAGCAGAATGGGGTTGCTGAGCACTGCATTGGCTTAGTCATGGAGGTCGCTCGTACCTCCATGATCCATGCGGCTGCCCCCCATTTTCTGTGGCTGTTTGCGGTCCGGTACGTCGCGCATCAGCTCAACCTCTGGCCCTATGTCTCCTTGCCGGAGACCTCGCCCACACTGCTGAGGACGGGGAAGGTTGGCGATGCGTCGCGTTTCCGGGTTTGGGGTACTCGTGCCTTTGTTCGCGATACCACCGCGGACAAGCTCTCCGCCCGCGCTGTTCCCTGTGTCTTCCTTGGCTTTGTCCCTGACGCGCTCGGTTGGCAATTTTACCACCCCACCTCGCGCCGTATCTTCCCCTCTCAGGACGTCACGTTTGACGAGTCAGTTCCCTTTTACCGTCTCTTCCCCTACCGGACTGCCCCTCTCCCCCCCCCCCGCCACTCTTCCTCGCTCCAGGTGCTCCCCAGGTAGACCCCCTCCCCGCTCCCGGTCCTGCTCCTTCAGGTGTGTCTCAGGTAGACCCTCCTCCCTTGCTTGCGCCAGTTGAGGTCACTGGTGACTCAGGTCCTGCTCGGGGTGCTCCTTCTGAAGGTGCTGAGCCTGGGGGTGCTGAGCCTGGGGATGCGGAGCCTTGGGGTGCTGAGCCTGAGGGTGCGGAGCCTGGGGGTGCGGAGACTGGATGTGTAGAGCCTGGGCATGAGGAGTCTGGGGGTGCTGAGCTTGGGGGTACTGAGTCTGGGGGTGCTGCACCTGGGGGCGCTGAGGCGTCTGGTGAGCAGTCTCCCTGGGGCGGCCGTCTCCGTAGTCGCTCCGCTGGTACCTCGCCGCTGCACTCTCGACGTCGACTCCCTCTCTCCCCACAGCAGCTGCGTGAGTGGTACGCTGACCGTTAGGGTCGCACTGCTGGAGCTAGGGGCCATGCTGCGGGAGGCGCTGGAGCTGGTGACTCTGCTACTGGAGTTGTTTCAACTGAAGGTTCTGGAGCTGCTGAGGGTGCTGGAGCTGGAGGCTCTGGGGCTGCTGATGGTGCTGGCGCTGGAGGTTCTGGAGCTGCTGCGGGTGCTGGCGCTTGTCAGAATCCCAACCACTAGACCATTGGGATAAAAGGGCTTGTTTCAGTAGCGGGTCAGTGCGCCTATAACCCCCCAGGCGAACGCGCCTGTAACCCTCTCCAGGATCAATCGGGCATCCACAGTGCAGATCTACTGACAGCGCTAGAGGTTCTGGAGCTGCTGCGGGTGCTGGCGCTGAGGGTTTTGAGTCTGCTGTTGTGCGGTCTCCTTGGAGTAGCCGCCTTCGTCCGCGTGTGCCTCTCACCTCCCAGCAGCTGCACGACTGGTACGGTCGCCGTCAGGGTCGCGCTTCTGGAGCTCGAGGCTCTACCGCTAGAGGTACTTCTGCTGGCGTCACTGGAGCTAGGAGTGGTGCTGGTTCTGGAGGTGCTGCTGTTGGAGACACTAAGGCTCGAGTCCCTGGGACTGGAGGTGCCGGTGCTGAGGGTGCTGCTGCTGGTGGAGCTGGTCCTGGAGGAGCTGACGCTGAGGGTGCTGGAGCTGCTGGGGGTACTGGAGCTGCTGGTGCTGGTGGCAGTGCACAGCCGCGCCTGTTCTTTGCTCCTCCGTCTCCGTCGTCTCAGCCACCGCCTGACTCTGTGCTTCGCCAGGTTCTTAGACTCCCTTCGTCTACTGGTCTTCCGTTACAGCCTGACTCACCACTGCCTGCTCCTTCTCCTTACACTGAGCGGACAGGGGGTCTTACTGAGCGTCGTGAGCTAGCGTCGCGTCCTGTCTTGCCTGTCAGTCCTGGTCGTTCCGGTCGTCGTGTTCCTCGTTCGCGTCTGCCGGCTGTCTCCGACACCCACCTCGTCGTCCGTCGTCCTTCCTCTCCTCCACAGCGTGTTCCCCTGCCGTCCCCTCCTGCAGCTTCTCTGCCTACCATTTCTGAGCCTAAGTCTGACTGTACCCGTGCTGCTCACTCTACTGTCATGCGTCTGCTAGCCATAGTTGTCACTGACCCATCATTTGAGTCTGCTGCTGCCTCTGCCTTTGTCGCTGAGCTTGTTGACTTTGCTGCTGCCTGTCGTCTAGACTACGCCGCTAGTCTTGTTGCTGAGTCTGATTCTGTCTGTCCTCCGTCCGTCGGGGGTGGGTGTGCTCTTGGCACGGACGTCCTTGAGGACAGGCAGGAGGACCTCGAGTGTCTTGCAGCCGCTGCGCCTCATCTCGTATCTATGCTGCTTGCCCCTTAGGGAGACCCGAATGCTCCAGACATCCCGACCCCACGCTCTTACGCTGAGGCGATCGCGGGTGAGTACTCCTGTCAGTGGCAGACAGCCATGGACGCAGAGATGGCATCCTGGAAGTCCACAGGCGCTTGCGTCGACGAGGTTCCCCCTCCTGGGGCGAACATCGTCAGTGGCATGTGGATTTTCAGGGTGAAGCGGCCGCCACGTTCTCCGCCTGTCTTCAAGGCTCGTTACGTGGCTCGAGGTTTCAGTCAGCGAGAGGGAGTAGACTTCTTTCAGACCTTCTCCCCCACCCCAAAGATGACCACTCTTCGGGTACTGCTGCACGTTGCCGCTCAGCGTGACTACGAGCTTCACTCTCTTGACTTCAGCATAGCTTCTTGCAGGGCAGTCTGCACGAGGAGATCTGGCTGCGCCGCCCTCCTGGCTTCAATGGGTCGTTCCCTCCTGGTACCCAGTGGAGCCTCCGGCGGCCGGTCTACGGTCTCCGCCAGGCGCCATGTGAGTGGCACGACACACTGAGGACTACATTTTCTGCTCTTGGGTTTGCTCTGTCGACTGCTGACCCATCGCTGTTTCTGCGCATCGACACTTCGTTACCGCCGTTCTACATCCTCGTATACGTCGACGACTTGGTCTTTGCCACTGCTGACACTGAGGCTCTCGCTCTGGTGAATTCGGAGCTGCAGAAGAGACACACGTGCACAGACGTGGGTGAGCTGCGCAGTTACCTAGGTTTGTAGATCACCCGGGACAGAGCACGCCGCACCATCACACTGACTCAGTCACACATGGTGCAGCAGGTCCTTCAGCGCTTCGGCTTCACCTGGTCCTCGGCACAGGCCACTCCTTTGGCTACAAGTCACTCGCTCTCAGCTCCACCTTCGGACGAGTCCGTAGAGCCGACTGGTCCTTACCCAGAGCTAGTGGGCTGC